AGAGCTCATAATATTTTCTTCAGTTTTATCATCTTGGGAAGAAAGCAACTTTTGTGTGAGAATGCTGTAAGCAATTCATTGCTTTGCAGGCCCAAGTTACAAAACCAGCTGGTCTTCCACATCTTTTACTGGCAAGCCCTGCAGACAAGAACAGCCTGCCCTCTGGTGCCTCAGCAATGGACAGGCAGCTGGAAAAAATCACTAGGATGCTGGAGGAATCTACAAAAGAATTTGCCAGTGTCGGCAGCCAAGGGTTGCCTAGACAAGGAAAAGGTAAACCATTACACAACAAAAAAAGAGGTAGTCGCCTTTGTATTTAATCCTTGAAAATACAATTTTTTTCTGGACAAAGTACAAAGATTGGCATGTTCATCTGGATATGGACACTGTACTGATACATATACATTGTTGCAACATTTCCATTTTAAGATTACACAGGTTGTTGAGTTGGCCATAAATACTCAAAAATCATTTTCTTGTAATTGCAACACCTGGCAACTATGATCACCATTTTAGGTTCAAAATATAGGGCATCACCTAGTGCAATTTCCCCAGAAAGGCAAGACAGAACTGAAAAATTAGGGTGAGTCCTCTTTTATCTTCTACTGAAGCAGCAATTTTACTGGAGGTAATCAGCTGCCGTATTCCACGTCTGTCGATAATAAAGATGCCTTTCGATATTTTATTTGTCAATACATTATAGCCAGAATAGTTTACAACAATATTTTTGTTTTAATTGTAAATGCTACAGTTACTGTAATGTTTATGTATTGTTTCCAGAGAATTTCTGTCAGCACTGCAGGATGACATGTTTGGTAACTCCTATGGAAAACAATCTTGACACAGTAATGACTAACCTTTGTTAAATGTTTGGCACATACAATGAATAAATGCATACTCACAAAGAAGTATTTGCTTGAGAATACAACTTTTATGTTAAGGTGCTATTGTTGTAAAAGTTCAACATCAGCATGTTGTTTTGCTTCCCCTGTGTGCAAATGCATGTTAGAAAATTAAAGTATTGAAAATTAAAATGAAGAATCTATTTATCATATTATGCCTAGACTTCCTAGATCAAAATTGTTGGTTCTGGAGACTGGCTACGGAGGAAAACGGGTGCAGATTAATTTTGCAAAGGGCATGATTTTAAGAAACATTGAGCAGTTTGTGGAACTTTCTTCAGAGAATTAAGTGAGCTTCTAAAGAGAGATTTTAGTTTCATTTTTTTATAACTATTATTGAAATTGTAAATATAATCTCTTTAAAGTCTTTAAATTCAGAAACATCTATGTTATTGTTAATTTTTTGTTGTTGGTGAGACATTTTATCAAGTAATTGGTAGTAATTGTTCATGAATCACCAACTTTAAGTTTTTATCTTTTTATGAGATTAAATAGGTAATATGAAAGAATATAATCTTTTTTTA